GGTTTTCCAAATGTAGCTCTCGCCTCAGCGCCGCGACATTCGTTACAACACTTTGCAAGAGTTTCACTGATTGGGGGCGGGCCGTTCCGAAAAATGTGGCTCTCGTCCTAGCGCCACGCACATTCGTTTTAACAATGTGCAAGAGCTTCACGGATCGAGGGCGGGTCGTTTTCAAAATGTGGCTCTCGCTTGAGCGCCGTGCGTATTCGTTTTCACAACCTGCAGAAGTTTCGCGGAGTCCAGTGATCAGCGTACCAGAAATGGTGTTGTGGAAGGCTTCAGGATTGTGCGGGTGCAACAGTTATGTTGTTTCGCGGTATTGTAGTCCCAAAAATGACACTCTGGCACGATTCCAGATCGTCGAGACGCAGCAGTCAGGTTGATACGTGGCGTTGAAATCCTGAGAACAATGTTTTGGCATGCTTCAGGATCTTCAAACGGCTGTCTTCCAACGAGGCAGCTCCCTCAATGGAAAGGAACCGTTGGGGGCCTATGAAGAGGGAGTTTGGGAGGGTTAATTCCAACATCGTTGATGACTGTTGGTTCTACACAGGTCCTCCTCCTCCTCCTCCCTCTTCTCCTCTTCCTCCTCCTCCTCCTCCCCCTCCCCCTCCTCTTCCTCCTTCTCCTCCTTCTCCTCCTCCTTCCCTCCTCATCATCAGCATCATGAACTGCATCATCATCATCATCATCATCATCATCATCATCATCATCATCATCATCATCATCATCATCATCATCATCATCATCATCATCATCATCATCATCATCGTCAGCAGCATCATCATCAGCATCATTACCATCACCATTTCCATCACCATCACCAGCACCACCACCACCACCACCACCACCATCATCATCATCATCATCATCATCATCATCATCATCATCATCATCATCATCATCATCATCATCATCATCATCGACGACGACGACGACGACGACGACGACGTCGTCATCAACCCTCCTCCTTCTCCTCCTCCTCCTCCTCCTTCGTCATCCCTGCTCTCTCCTCCTCATCCTCCTCCTCCTCCTACTACTCCTCCTCCAAAGCTCCGTGCGCGAGCAGCCCGCCATTTCCTACAAATTCCCGTCTCGGGTCCTGCCCTAGTGGTGGACGAGACGGGGGGCGCCCACACCTTGTTTTTTTCACTGCACTTACTTCGATTACGGTGCCAGGCGCGTCAGCCTGTTCAGGCCGACCGCGGTTGTCTTTCTTTCACTTCTTATGGTTGCTTCTCAATTGCGTTCGTATCAGTGCTGTTACGTAACCGACATTCAGACACAGTGGTCCTCAGGAAGCCGGTTGCCTACAACTCACCCGCCGGACACCGTGATCAGCAGGCAGCGGCAACTCTGGCTGCACCTATACGGCTTCACCAGTCTAGCGCTTGTCATCTGTATCAGGGGGGTCACCTTCAGTTGCGGCATGGAAGAGCTGAATCATTCTTCTTTCCCCGTTGCCAATGGACCCTGCGCTGCTCCTGCCACCAGTTTTCCGCACGATTCCGTTGCCTCCGCCGCCTGGGCAGATTGGTCTCCAACCTCCTGGTGGCCCAGGCAGTGTTGGACAGCGGGCTGAGGTGAAGTAAGGAGAGAGCCACATGCGAACCCTACCCCTACCCCCCACGATTTCTGAGGGGGAGGGTGGGGTTCACTTCGCTCGGGAGCTCCCAAACGAAGTGAACCCAACCCTCCCCCTCAGAAATCGTTGGGGGGTAGGGGTAGGATTCGCATGTGGACCCCTAGTAACCCAGACATCCGACGACTCGACTTTTTCGAGACGCGGGCCCCCGACCTCCCCACCACTTCCCTGGGACCGGTCTTTCATCCCGAGCCGTTCTCTTTGACGGCCCCGAGGCCCGGCGAGGGCCCCGCGAGGCCCAAAACTATATGAAAAACATCCGCCCCGATCTCTTCGAGGCGCCCGATGTCTGGGACGTCTGCACAGCGCGGAGGAGGTGGAGGAGGAGGAGGAGGAGCAGGAGGAGGAGGAGGAGGAGGAAGAAGAGAAGGAGGAGGAGAAGGAGGAGGAGGAGGAGGAGGAGGAGGAGGAGAGGAGGAGGAGGAGGAGGAGGAGGAGGAGGAGGAGGAGGAGGTGGCGGCGGAGGAGGAGGAGGGTCTTTGGCGTAGTCGCTTCGTCCTGGGCCCGAGCGGGGGAGCGCCTGCGCGGCGGCCTCTCGCCGCCTGCCCGAGGGCATCGCACGGCTGCGCAGCCCCCCCGCCTGCTCCGGCGGGCCTCCCCCCGCCGCGCTCCTCCTCCTCCTCCTCCTCCTCCTCCTCCTCCTCCTCCTCCTCCTCCTCCTCCTCCTCCTCCCTTCCTCCTCCTCCTCCTCCTCCTCCTCCGCCTCCTCCTCCTCCTCCTCCTCCTCCTCGGGTCCCGCCGGCGGTCGTTCGGCGACGTGGCCAAAATCTCTTCGCAGAAGTGCGCAGGGGGAGCGCTCGCTTCGCGAGGAGGATGGCGATGCCTCGCCCCCGTGCCGCGTGCCCCCTGTTTGTTTTTGTTTGGCCCTGGAGGGAGCGAGGGCGACAGCTGTCACTTCTTCAGCACGCCCGTCTCGACGAGACACCCCCGATGGGTCGGAGAGGGACCTGAACGCGTTTCGCCGTGCCCTCTCGACTGGGCAGTATGTTGCTAGTGCCTGCGAACATGCCACGGTCCCGATCGATGCGCATCCTCCGCTACCTCCCGTTTGACGCTTCTTCGGTCAGACAAGTCACAGGTCGGCGCAAGAAGAACGCGCCCAAACGGGTGGACTTGTCATCTGCTCTTGCCAGAGGAACTTTTGGCCTGCCGTTGGGAACAACGGCGGTCGTTGTCACTGTTTGCAAAGTAAGACTTCAGAATTGCAATGCGCTCCGTGTGAGAAGCCCGCTCACGACTGCCCTTGAAGATATTCGAGGTTATGCAAACTAGACAATGGGTTTCTTTATAAAGCCAATCGGGTATCCAACTCCGTGCCGTGTGAACGGGCCTCTTGGGCCCAGTGATTCGACAGGCGTGCCATCGAGTTTTCACATGTCTTCAACGATTCTTCTGGACAGAGATCAACTGCCTCATCTTTCGGCTAGGCGTCCAACCTTTTTTCTTGGACGGGGTTTCTTGCTCTTTTCCCCAGTGGGACCCCCCTTCGCACTCCAAGATAGTTGCTCTTAGTCTGTGACACGCTGGCACTGTTTTGAATCTTCATTGGACGTTGTCCATTTCGGTGATTTCAGCTTAGAACCCCAAACGTGCGCATCCAGTGAGGGCCAACATCTCCACACTCTTCCCCCTGGGGCTCCCCCTCGAATCTGTCCTCCCAGATGTCGTGATTGGTTTTGCTCTCGAATGGCAACACTGCGTGCCTACTTCAATTGTTAACGTTGCGTTGCGTACCGTCACGCTTCCCCAGTTCGATGCTGGACATTGGGTGCCTACTGGAGTAGCAGCACTGTCTGTGGAGGTCCTGTCTGAATTGGTGGGGTGATCCTGTGGCTTGTGTTCGTAAGAACTCCGGACTCCTTGAACGCAGATAGGCTCCCCTAGAGTCAAGTTCAAGGGACAAGGACGTCTTAGTCGCTTGCTCTACGCCGGACTCGCATCGATGTAATCCTCTGGAGTCTGATTGGAGGGGGGACGGGTCCTCCCTGTCACGTGATACAGTATATATACACATGTATAGTTACAGAGAGAGATGTGTATATATATACATACATACATACATACATACACGTCTGTGCATATATTATACGATGGGTTATTGAAATGTTATGTTCTAATTTCTGCCAAGAGACCATGCTTTTTTGCTCGAGGTTTGGCACTGCTGGGCAGGACACTTTAACTCATGAGCTAATTGTTCCTTTGCGCTGAGAACAGATGGCATGCAGTTTAAACCGTGTCAATTTCTCAACACATAAGATGTCTTCATTTACTATTGCATACGGATGGGCGGATTAATTAGATCATGCGTTCTCTCCACGGCGTTTGACCAGTTTCTGCAAGTGGGCTCCCTGTGCTTCACGAATCCTATCTCGTCTCTGTGCCTCTCCTCGTCCGTCCCCCCGCGCCCGCCGCCGCGGGCGGACCGCGGCCGCCATCCGCGGTTCAATCCATCAATAGGGCTCTAGACCAACGTCCGATATCTATGTCTCTCCCTGGGTTCAGGCCCTGGGGAGAACATGAGCCCGCGTAGCGGGCGCCTTGGGCTGTGGTGCTCGCCAGTGCCGCAGCCCCCGTGGAAGCTGCTCGCGCGACGGGCACTTCCGAGCACGGCCGATCCGATCCGATTCCCCTGCTCCTCCTCCGCCACCTGCAACTCCTCCTCCTCCTCCTCCTCCTTCTCCTCCTCCTCCTCCTCCTCCTGCAACTCCTCCTCCTCCTCCTCTTCCTCCTCCTCCTCTTCTTCTTCTTCTTCTTCTTCATATGTTTCTTCTTCTTCCTCCTCCTCCTCCTCCTCCTCCTCCTCCTCCTCCTCCTCCTCCTCCTCCCCCTCCTTGTCCTCCTCCTCCTCCTCCTTTTGGCGCGTGGCTGGGCGCACCGACGGTCTGCTCACTGAACAGCCACGCGGCGATGGGCCGCCCTCACCTGTGGAGGCACTGCCTCGGCGGCGGCCTGACCTCCTCCTCTCGAGTGCAGAAAGATCCATCCCGAGAAGAAGCACCCCGACAAGCGAAGCCGTTTAGCTTTTAGCAATCGCGAACAAGGGAGGAATCCGAGCAGGGCGGGGCGGTTTGTCAAACGTACAGGGCCGTTTCGTAAACGCCTGTGGTCGGGGTCTGGGTGCCTTTTTCTCCCTTGGTCCTCCTCTTCCTCCTTCTCCTCCTCCTCCCTTGATCCTCCTCCTCCTCCTCCGCTGCCTCCTCCTCTCCTCCTCCTCCTCCTCCTCCTCCTCCTCCTCCTCCTCCCTCCTCCTCCCTCCTCCTCCTCCTCCGCCTCCTCCTCCTCCTCCTCCTCCTCCACCACCTCCTCCTCCCTCCTCCCGCTTCAGGCGAAGCCCCCCCGCCCCCGCGGGGCGCTCCACGCGAGCTCCGAGCTCGGGAGGCCGTCGTCGCCCAGCACCGGCAGCTCGTCCCCCGCGGACGCGGCCTGCGCGCGCCGCCCGCGGATGCCTCGAGCAAGCGACGCCGACCACGACGACGACGCCGACGACGACGACGACAACGCCGCCGCCAGAGCCGACAAACCACGACGCCGACGACGACCAGAACGATGACAACAACGCCGCCGACGACGACAACGACGCAGCCGCTGCCACAACCGACGACGACGACAACGACGACGATCACGACGACGACGCCGACGACGACGCCGTCGACGACGACGCCGCCGACGACGACGACAACGCCGCCGACGACGACGGCCACGACGCCGACGACGACCACGACGACGACGACGACGCAGACGGTGACGACAACGCCGCCGCCACCGCCGACAACGACAACGCCACCGCCGCCGCCGACGACGACGCCATCGACACCGACGACGACGGCGACGACGCCGCCGACGACGCCACCGCCGCCGACGACGACGACGACGACGACAACGGCGCCGCCGCCGCCAACGACAACGACGCCGTCGCCGCAGACGACAATGACCGCCACGACGACGACAACGACGCCGCCGACCACGACGACGACCACGACGACGACGATGACGACAATGCCACAACAGACGCAAACGACGACGACGCCGACGACTACCACGCCGCCGCCGCCGCCACCGACGACTACTACGACGACGACGACGACGACGACGACGACGACGACAACGCCGCCGACGCTGACGACGACGACGCCGTCGACGACGACGACGACGCCGCCGACGACGACAACGACGACGACGACACCGCCGACGACGGCCACGACGACCACGACGACGACGACGACCACGACCACGACGACGCCGCCGACGACGACGCCGACCCTGACGCCACGACGCCGACGACGGCCACGACCAGAACGACGACGACCATGACGAGGACGACGCCGCCGCTGATGACGACGACGCTGACGACGACGGTGACGACAACGCCGATGCGACTTGTGCTGGCTTGAAGAGTACGAAGATGGGGATATCTATATATATATATATATATCTGTATGTATGTATATATATATATATATATATATATATATATCTTTGTTTGGTTTCAATTTGAGAGGAGGTCCCTTTGGCCTTGCCGCTGCGGGTTTCCCTGCTGATGACCGTCCGGTCTTGCTGCCGGCATTGAGGCCCTCCGGCCCTCCAGGCTTTCCGAGCGCGGCGTTCTTGATATTGGCATTTCTTTTGCAGCCCAAAACATACTTATCAGCTGCCATCCTTTTTATCATTTGGGTTCTTTCTCCAACCGACCCCTTTAGCGTGATAGGCGACGATCCTGTCTGGGGCGAGATTCATATTTTTCCGTGGCCCTGTCACAAGCATCTATTATTGTGTTGGCGTCGTGAAAGTAGTCCGTGGCAGAGGTACAGTCCGTGTCGGAGCAGTCCGAGTCAGACCCTGAAGGGGCAGCCTCGGCGGGGCCCGCTGCCTTGGCAAGGGCCTGGTCACCGGCCACTTCATCGCCTTCTTGCTGGTCGGCGCCTACTTGTTTGGACGAAGCGGGTTGCCCCGCGCGACGCTCGCGATTGAATGCCTTGAGGCAGTGATTCGGAGCAAGGTTATCCCAGATCTCTTCGGTCCGAACTCTCTCATGCTCATCAACTGGCTGGCAGTCAAATCTCATCGACTGTTTTTCGCGCGGGTGATTGGTCGGATCTACGGCGCGACCCCGACCGTCAGTCACCATGGGGCCAGACCCATGGTGTTCTTTCGAAGTTAGGGCCCCTCGACGGACGCTTCATCGGGCAACCAGGTCTGTGGTCGGCATAATACAAGCAAGCACAGACAAAACTTCAGTATGTCTTCCGTTCCTCTATGATGGCCCTTTGAGGTCCCGTCTCTGGAGAGCATCCTGCGTCTTGGTGCCCGTGCCTCTTTTGGTGCGGACGGTCTTGCCTTTTATCGTTCCGCTTGACATTGCACAGTGAATAGCATCGACGAATGCCACGCTCGGCCCAGCCTTGGTCGAGCCAATCGCGCATCGCGTCGGGTGGGGTCCATGATCATCATAGCTGACAAGGCACTGCACGCCTCCTGCCTGGGACGCGGCTGGGCCGCCCCCCCTCTGAGGCGGGCTCCCCCGCGGGCGATCCCTCCTCGGTGGGGCCCCAGGTCTGTCACCCCTCCATGGCGGGGTCTTTGAGGCGCTCGTATCAGGAGTGCGAGGGCGCTGGTTGCCGCTGGAGCGAGCGCCGCTGGAGCGCGCGCGCGGGTGCCCGCGCGAATAGCTGCGGACGCGGCCATGGCGCTGCGCGCGCCGCTCCTCGGCTTCCCACTCGTCATCGTCACCACCTGTGCGATTCGCGCGTCTCCAGACATGGCGGCTTGTTTATCGCTCCTGGCGGCTCGGGGAGCGCCTCATAGCCACGAACGTAACATGCTGATCTTCAGTATGTCGAAGTTCGTACTGAACGCGTTCTGAAAGGTCGCAAGCATCTCGCGGGCTTCCCCGCAAGGGGCCGAAGTCATATGATTGCGTGTTTGTCGGATAGCCAATGGCCTGAGGACGAAACATCATGTGCATTTCCTCTTCTGTCGCTGGAATTGTGGCTTCGGAAGCCGCGGGTGTCTCCGCCATATCTTGGCCTACTTCAGCGGGTGTATTGACATCCTCAACAACTTCGATATGTGCAGGTTGCCCAGCGATGGGTATGCCTAACCAGTCTGCCAGGTGGGTCTCATTATGGCCAACGTATATCTCCTCGAAGAGCTCGTCAGCGTAATTCTCGAGGGACATGCTGGCACTTAGGTATCTGGCAGCCATGAAGTTAACAACTGTGACTGGTTTGTCGGCAGGGTCGGCCAGTCATGTTTCCCAATCGACATACTGTATGTCCGAATCGGTTTGGGCCGCATGCATCGACGGACCTCTGCCTCTGCCATCGCCCCGGGGGCACTCGCGGCGAACATGTTGTGTGCTATGGCAGATGTCACATTCCATTGTTTTGTCGTTAGCGTCTTTCGGGTTGCCCCGGCGCCCCTTGCCCTTTCCTGAAGTGCGCTGGCGACCCCTGCCTGCGCCCAGGAAAAAAGATGTGCGCTCATATTGTGGCCCAGCCAGGGGGCGCCAGGAAAGCTAACATACCTCTGCCATGCAATCGCCGTCGTTTGCCCTGTACCCTCGCCTGGACCCTTACCCTCTCTCCTAAGTGTGCGTCGGATAGTACGTCGTACCTTGCGAATTCGCTTCTTCATAAGACGTCTCCATCTGCGTTTGTGCTTCTGATATCCAAGAAACAGCCATTGAGCCTGTATTTCTTCCGTGAGATACGTGGGCATGTCGGAATAGTCTATGGCATTCGCTGCGTCGTCTGATGACGTGTCGGCGTCGGTTCCAGAGTCGAAGTCAGACTCAGCGGGTTGCCCCGTTGAGCCTACAAGGGTAGTGGCTTGCGTAGGGGCCACCGTTGCCAACGGCCCCTGGTATCTGGCCCAGGAGTCTGGCGACCCCGTAGCGGGACCACCGCTTTGGGCTAATAGCGTGGTGGTCTCCGTTGGTTGCGGATCGTACTTCCAGACGTCAGTAACAGGTTGCCCTGCATTGGCTTCAGCATGCAAAATTTCGGCGCGGTGTCCGCGGCTGAAGATACCACCAATACTGCCAGGGGTTCGCCCATCGATGTGAGCATATGACCTCATGCGTTCAAGCAGAGAGTCAAATTGCTGCTGATTCCTCCGCATTTGGTGGTTAAGTGGCTGTAGAAGTTGTTGTGCACGCGACGTCCCCACTCCTAAGGCTCTGAACAGAATAACCGTTAAGATCTGGAAGTTGGGGATGTTAGAGCCCGCCGTTTCAGCCTCGTAGTGGGCTATTTCGAAGCGCGCCGATGTCTGGTCGATCCGTTTTCCCGCGTGGACCCGGAAGTCGATGAGAGCAGTACCCGAATTAAGTTTGTGTTCCTCCTCTAAGATCTCAGACTTCGTGCTAAGGAGAAACATAATATAGGTGACACCATCAGTACGGCGGCCACCTATGTCGACGCCAAAGTTAATGACTGCTGGGGGAACTCTCGCGGCTTTGGCCCGCGCGAGGCCTCCCAGACCACGCTGCAATGCTGCAGCTTGCTTGGAGGGCGTCGTATGGCCTGTGGTCACGTTGATCCAGGCATGCAAATCTCTGACGAATTCGCGGAAAGGTACTTGACCGGTCGGGCCCCAGTGGGGGCCGGTTGTTCTTGCGTCGTCTCCGCCACGCATGTGTCCCACAGCACACCCGATAGCAACCCATATGAGACCAAAGAGAGTAACACAAATCCAGTGGCCCCGTAGGTCGTGGTCGGATGTTGTTGGCTGAGGTTTGTGGTGTTTTGTTGTAAACCTGCGTGGGGGTGGGGGCGGCACAATGTCGTATCGCATGTTGCCATGCATGGTATCTTCGAAGCAATTTACATTCCTCCGCGCAGACCCACTGCACCCGGATGTTCGTCCACCAGATGGTGCCGTGGATGGCGAGGAGTTCCAGAAGCTTCGCCCTAGGCGAAGCGCAGCTCCAGCTCTATTGTATCGTAGTAGCGATAGTCCGAGTCGGAGGGGATCGTCGCGGGAGCGACGGGCCATCTCAAGCGAAGGATGTCGATGGCAAGTAGTATGCCTCGCAATGAGGCGCAATCATATGTTGGCGGCCGGCCGCTTGAACACAAACGGCCGCGGACAAACGCTCGCTATCTCTCGCCATTGTGCCAGCTCACTTTAGAATGGGGTCCCGCCCGGCAGGGTCCTGGGGGGGTCCTGTGTCCCGGGGGGGAGTCGCTACCCAGATACGTTTTGCCCCCCCCCTGGGGGCCCTGGGGCTCAGAAAGCACCAAGACAGGCCAAAAGTGCCCCAAGAGGCCGCCGAGACGGTCCAAGAGGGTCCCCAATCGCCAAACAAGATGTGTCCAAAACGTCTTCACGCCCTCCAGACTGCCTAGGAAACCTCCAGGACGCCCCAAGACGCTCCCAAGAGCACTCCCGAGAGGGCCCCAAGAGGCCAAACTCATGTATTGTTCATGGATGTTTGAAAGATTTGGGCGTTCTCGCCTTTTCTACTTCCCGCCGCCCCAAACGGCGCCAGAGGCCCCCAAGATCTCCCCAAAACGGCCCAAGAGGCCTCCAAAAGGCCCCAAAACAGCCGAAGATGACTCCCAACCAACCTACAACGCCTCCAAGAGCCCTAGATGATCCCAAAACGGCTCCAAGAGCGTGCCCAGATAGAGGACCCGAACGGACATGTCGAGCCTTCGGCCCCAATAAGCCCCCGGGAGGCCCCAAGAGGTTCCCCACAGGCCCCTAGAGGCCCACAGGAGGTTCCTTGGAAGTCCGAATAGGCCACCAAGAGGCCCCCAAGAGGCTCCCAAGAGGCCCCCAAGAGGCACCAAAATTCCGCCCTAGAGGCCCCCGAGAGACTTCCGAAGAGACCCCAAGAACCATCCCTGAGGACTCTGGCCCACGTCAGCGTCGTCGTTGCCGCCGCCGCCGCCGCCGCCGCCGCCGCCGCCGCCGCCGCCGTCGTCGTCGTCGTCGTCGTCGTCGTCGTCGTCGTCGTCGTCGTCGTCGTCGTCGTCGTCGTCGTCGTCGTCGTCGTCGTCGTCGTCGTCTCCCTTTAGGGTCGGCGGCACGGGCCGCAAGGCCTTCGCAATACATTCTCCCTGTCGCACCCCGAGGCCAGGTTTCAAGGCGGGCCGGGCGTTTCGCATGAGACTTCCCCACCATTTACGACCCTGACGCTTAAACACCGGCAACAGCTTCACACATGGAGGGCGGGTCGTTTTCAAAATGTGGCTCTCGCTTCAGCGCCGCGCACATTCTTTTCAAGCGTTTGCAAGGGTTCCACGGATTGAAAGCGGGTCGCTTTCAACATGTGGCTCTCGCCTCAGCGCCGCGTATATTCGTTTCAAACATTTGCAAGGGTGTCACGGATTGAAGGCGGCTCCTTTGTAAACTGTGGTTCTCGCCTTAGCGCTGCGCACATTCATTGTTGAAGATTGCAAGAGCTTCACGGATTGAGGGCGGTTCCTTTTTCAAGTGTGGCTCTCGCCTCATCGCCGCGCACATTGTTTTCCTGGTGTTCTGCAAACGAAATTCGCAAGACTTTCACGGGCTCCCATAATCATCGTACCAGAAATGGCGTATGGGAAGGATTACGGATTATGAGGGTGCAACAGTTACTTTGGTTTGCGGTGTTGAAGTCCCATAGTGGGTTTCTGGCACGATTCAGGATTGCCAAGGCGCAACAGTCAGGTTGATCCGTGACGTTGGAAACCCGAGAACAATGTTCTGGCATGCTTCAAGGTCTTCAAACTGTTGCCCTCCAAGGGGGCAATTCCCTCGGTGGAGATGAACCCTTGTAGGGGCCTGTGAAGTGGAAGCTTGGAGGGAGGCTTTATCCCAACATCTTTGATGGCTGCTGGGTTTGCACTGGTCCTCCTCCTCCTCCTCCTCCTCTCCTCCTCCTCCTCCTCCTCCTCCTCCTCCTCCTCCTCCTCCTCTACCTCTAAAGGCTCTCAAGACCAAACCACGGTGATCAACCGACTGCGCACAACGCCAAGCCACCGCACATTCCCCTGAGTTCCTCCTCCTCCTCCTCCTCGCCCTCCTCCTCCTCGCCGCCGCGCTGGCCGAAGAGGCTGGGGATGCCTCGAGCGAGCGAGTGGTGGACGACGCCTCGAGCGAAGGCCCCCCCCCGCGAGACGGCGCACGTCGGGACCAGGCGGCACGCGGCGGCCCCGCGAGCCGGGCGCGGCGCCTCTTCCGCGGAGCTGCCGAACGTGCCCCCGCCCTCGTCGGCGACGTCCGCGCCTGCAGGCGGCGCGGCGGCGCCGAGGGGCGAGAGGGACGCCCGCGAAGAGGAGGAGGAGGCGGAGGAGGAGGAGGCGGAGGAGGAGGAGGCGGAGGCGGAGGTGGAGGATGAGGCTGAGGATGAGGAGGAGGAGGCGGAGGAGGAGGAGGAGGAGGAGGAGGAAGGGGCTTGTGCAGAACCCTCCAACCTCCAACTCCTCCTCCTCCTCCTCATCCTCCTTCTCCTCCTCCTCCTCATCACCATCGTCAACAACAACAACATCAACACCACCACCAACATCATCATCATATTCAGCATCATCATCAACACCACCATCACCATCACCATCATCATCAGCATCGTCATCACAAACACCATCACCATCACCACGCCACCAGCATCGTCATAACCATCAGCAGCAGCAACAACATCTTCATCTTCGTCGTCATCATCATCCTAACATCATCATCATCATCATCATCACCATCACCATCATCATCATCACCACCACCATCATCATCATCATCATCATCATAATCATCATCATCGTCATCATCATGACAGTGCGCAACACAGTATGCACCGCCGCAGGCGCGTGCACCACATTGCCTATGTAGTGCGCAGTGCATACAGTCAGCCCGCGGAGTAAGGATGCACGATAAGGATGCAAGGGCCTTGGAAAGCCATGTTGACGTTTTTCGAACGGAGCGTCGCCGAATACCGAAGGATGCAAGGGCATCCTAACGCATCCCCATCCTTGCCGAACTGGCGCCTGGGGCACAAGCAAAGACAACGCAAGGATGCAAGGGTACCCTTGAAGGTCGCGCGTCTCCGCGGGCACGGCGCATACTCTCAAGGGCATGTATGGGCGGCGCCTGCCTCGGTGGCAAGGATGCGCGCGTCGCGCATTCTTGGGCCCGCGGCCCCCCGCGAATGAAAAGATTGCAAAAACGGGTCTGATGATGGCCAAGGGCGCCTTGCGCATCGCGCATCCTCAGGGCCGCGCCCACCCGTGAGTGGGAGAGCAAGGAAAACGTGTCGAAGGATGGGCACAAATACACTGCGCGTCGCGCATCCTGAGGGCCACGGCCCACCGCGACTGAAAGAACGGAACAACAGGCCCGAGGATGGCCAAGGGTGCCTGCCCATCGCGCATCCGTTAGGCTTGGCCCCCAGGGGCGTCGCGCCGCGCAACCGAAGGATGCAGCCCGCCCAAAGGGTACCCTAAGGGGCTGGCCAGCGAAAGCTGCCAGGGATGGACCGAAGGGGCAAGGATGCAAGGGTAACCTAGGACAAGTTGCTCATCCTTACTCCGCGGGTTGACTTTACGTGCAGCACCGACGGTTTTCTCCCCGACACCCTCCTTCGACCATTATTATGTGATGATGCTTTGCTCGACGACGAGGGCGCCCGAGCGCCGGACGACGACGACGACGACGACGACGACGGCGACGACGAAGATAAGGATGACGACAACGACAACGACGACGACGACGAGGAGGACGACGACGGGGACGGGGACGGGACGAGGACAGAAACGGACCAGGGACAGGGGGACAGGGACGGACACGACGACGACGACGATGACGAGGAGGACGAGGACGAAGAGAACGACGACGCAGTGAAGACGACGACTAAGACGAGGACACGGACGACGACGACGACCACGACGAAGACGACGACGACGATGAGGATATCGACGACGACGGAGACGACGACGATGAGAGCTTCGACGACGATGACGACAAGGACGACGGACGCCTGTAAAGGTCTCCAGAGGTCTCGGGAGGCCGAAGGAGCTTTCTGGAGGCCTCTGAAGGCGTCTGGAGGCCCTTAAAGTTCAAGGCCCTCGGCAACGACGACGACGAGCACGAGGACGAGGGCGACGACGAGAAGGACGAGGACGGCGACGACGTCCGAGACGAGGCGAGGACGGGGACGGGGACGAGGACGACGATGACGACGAGAATGACGAGGACGAGGACGAGGACAACGACGAGGAAGAAGGGGGACAACGACGAGGACGCCGACGAGGACAGCGGCGAGGGCGCCGGCCTCCTCTGGAGGTCTCTCCAAAGGTCTCCGGAGGCCTGTGGAGGCGTCTGGGGGCCCCTCGAGGCCCTCGACGGCGAGGACGAGGACGAGGACGAGGACGGGGACGACGAGGACGACGACGACGACGACGACGACGACGACGACGACGACGACGACGACGACGACGGCGACGAGGACGCCGAGGACGACGACGACGACGGCCGCCTCGCCCTGCGAGGCCCTCGGCGACGACGGCGACGATTGACGACGACGACGACGACGAGGACGACGATGATGGGGACGGGGACGGGGACGGGGACGGGGACGGGGACGACGAGGACGACGACAAGGACGACGACGACGACGACGTCGACGACGACGGCGACGAGGACGCCGACGACGAGGACGACGACGATGACGACGACGGCCGCCTCGCCCTGCGAGGCCCTCGGCGACGACGGCGACCGTCACGACGACGACGAGGACGAGGACGACGATGGGGACGGGGACGGGGACGGGAACGACGACGACGATGAGAACGACGACGACGTCGAGGACGACGAGGACAAGGACGAAGACGACAACGACGGCCGCCTCGCCCTGCGAGGCCCCCAGCGACGACGGCGACGATGACGACGACGACGACGACGATGGGGACGAGGACGGGGACGGGGACGGGGACGACGACGACGATGAGAACGACGACGACGACGTGGACGAGGACGAGGACATGTACGAGGACGAGGATGAGGACGAGGACGAAGACGACCTCCGTCTCTAAAGGTCTCTGAAGGTCTCAGGAAGCCTAAGGAGGTCTCTAGAGACCTCTGGAGGCGTCTAGAGGCCCTTCGAGGCCCTCGGCGACGACGACAACGACGACGAAGACGACGACCGCCACGAAGACGAGGACAAGGGCGAAGGTGACGACAGAGACGAGGACGAAGACGGGGACGAGGACGACCACTGAAGCGACGACGACGACGATGACAACAACGACGACGACGAAAACATCGACGACAAGTACAACAGTAGCAAGCATCACAATGGCAGTGCCAGAGGCGCACAACGTGGGGGGCAGGGGGGGAGGGCATAGCGCGCATTATGGTCCATATAATTGAAAAAAACACGCTATAAGACGAGTGCGCACGACACTGAGGCGAGAGCCCCATTTTGAAAACCACCCGCCCTCAATCCGCGAAAATTCTGGCAAATGGTTAAAACTAGTGCGCGCGGCGCTGAGGCGAGAGCCACATGTTGAAAACCGCCCGCCCTCCAACTGTGAAGCTGTTGGCAATTGCTAAGTTTCAGGATCAGACATGGCGTGGAAGTCTCAGGGGAAACGCCCGGCCCGCCCTTCCGACTGGCCTCCGGATGAGAGAGGGAGGAACTTTGTATAGGGAAAAGGAATGAAGGAGGAAGAGAAGGCCTCAGGAGGAAAGCAACGAAGACGACGAGGGGAACGAGGACGAGGAGGAGCAGGAGGAGGAGGAGGAGGATGACGCGGAGGAGGCCTGACAGGAAGGCAACGAAGACGGCGAGGGGGACGGGGATGGAGGAGGAGGAGGAGGAGGAGGAGGAGGAGGAGGAGGAGGAGGAGAACGACGAAGACGGCGACGAGGGCGAGCAGGACGACGACGACGACGACGACGATAAAGACACCGACGGGGACGAGGAAGGAATGAACGGGGCACGCGCGAGCGCCCTTGGCGCCCCGACGGGCCCTGGCGCGGGCGCCGCCGCCTCCGCCCGCTGGCCCTTCTCGACTTGGGAGCTCATCCTGCTCGAGGAGAAGTGCTCAGTCTCCTCCTCCTCCTCCTCCTCCTCCTCATCCTTCTCCTCCTCCTCCTCCTCCTCCTCCTCATCCTTCTCGACTTGGGATCTGCTGACCCGGGGGCAGTCCAGACCCGGGTCAGTCAGGCCTTGCAGCATCCTGCAGGAACCTGCGCCCAAGCCCGGGTCAACGCACCCCTGGCGCTGCGGGATCCTGCAAGATCCGGCGCTCCAACTGACCCCCGTTTGCAATGAGCCCCCGTGCCTTGAGCCCCGAAGTGGTCGACGAGATGGTCCGCGGGGCCTGTAAGACGAACGCGCGTGCGCTCGCCAGCAGGGCACAATTCAGCTGCGCGTTCGAGGTTTCTCTTGTGGCTTTCGCTGTCGTTCGTGCTGCCAGTCCTGCGAGCAAAAGAGCACCCCCCCATCCCCCACCCGGCGCCCCTCGGGTGGGGGTGGGGTACAGTCGGGGCCTTGACCTAAGGAACCCTAATTAAGGAACGAGGCCCCCTTTTCCCATAAGTTCAACTTCGATTCCCCATGGAAAACCTAAGGACAGCCCAAGGCAAACTGTAAAAACAATCAAGGAATACCGAGCCCCTCCCCAACGAAAAGGGTTCCTTCTCTAGCGCCCCGACTGTAAACATAGCTCCCGCGCCGCTTTCGCAAAACATCGTCGCAACCGGGTTTGGAAGCTCCCCGGCACAGCCCCAGAGGGAGGAGGGGGGCCAGGAGGGGGGGTGGGAGGTGCGCTTTCTCTTCTCCGTGCTGGTCCTCCTCCTAGACTTCCTCGTCCTCGCCATCACCCTGTGGTGGCTTTCGGGTCACACCTCGGGTCTCTGGCAGCCGTTCGGGACGATCCTGGCTCCCCCAGAACGCCCTCGGCGGGGCGCAGCTACAGAAGCGCACCCTGGGACTGGAGCACCGCCGGGAACCGACGACAACGTCCGACAACCTCAAGCCTCGCCCTCTTCTTCCTTCTGCGCTTCCTCCTTCTCCTTCGCCTCCTCCCCTTCCTTGTTCCAGCCTGTCGCACCGCCAGGCGTGATGGTCGGGCGGGCCGGGCGTTTCTCCCGAGCCTTCCTCACCAGTCCTGCCCCGCGACTTGCTTGCAGATTGCAGCGGCTCCTCGGATCAAGGGCGGGCCGTCTTCAGCATGTGGCTCTCGCCTTAGCGCCGCGCGCGTGCGTCCTGAGAGACTTGCAACAGCGTCACGGATGGAGGGCGGCTCCTTTTCTCAATGTGGCTCTCCTCTTAGCGCCGCGCGCATTCGTTCTTAACAGCTGCGGCAGCTTCACGGATGGATCGTGGCTCCTTGTCACCATGCGGCTCTCGCCGTAGCGCCGCGCACACTCGTCGCAGTCCCACCAGCCCGTAGAGGGATCTAAGAGAGCCCCAGGACCCCCAAAAGAGCCCCAAGCGGGCGCCAAGAGGCGATTTTGAGGGCTCTGTCCTCGTCCTCGTTGTCCTCCTCCTCCTCCTCCTCCTCCTCCTCCTCCTCTTCCTCCCCCTCCTCCTCCTCGTCCTCGCCCTCGTCCTTGCCCTCATCGTCTTCCTTTTCCTTTTTCTCCTCTTCCTAGTCCTCGTGGTCGTCGTCGTCGTTGTCTTCCTCCTCCTGCTCCTCCTCCCCCTCCTCCTCCTTCTCCTCCTCCTCCTCCGCCTCCTCCCCTTACCCCCCGCGGGCCCCAGGGATGGCTTGAAGAAGTCCTCCAAGGCCCCTCCCAGAGATCTCTATGTCCATCCTGATTGTCTGCTTTGTTTCACTGCATGTGTCTTTTCGCCCCCTTTCCCGTCAACTCTCATGGGCAACGTTTCTGAAGGGGCTGGTGGGGATACGCGAAACGTTAAGAATTGGTTGCAGCAATTTCAAAGAATCGTGCTGCTCAAATCTCTGGAACGATGTTCTGGCACGGTTTAGGATTGTCAGGACGCGGCGGTCACGCTGAGCCGCGGTGCTAAAGTCCCAGGAATGGCATTCTAGCAAGATTTATAGAATTGGCAGGACGCAGAAGTCACGTTGATCCGCGGCTTTGAACCCCAAGACTGGTGTTGTGGCACGATTGAAGATTCTCCAACGATTGTCTTCTAATGCGCCACTTCTGGCGCTGGAAAACTTATGTAGGGGCAAGGAACTTGGAGGAAAGGTGGATTGCAACATCGTTGGTGCATCTTGGGTTCACACTGGTCCTCCTCCTATTCCTCCTCCTCCTCCTCCCTCCTCCTCCTCCTCCTCCTCCTCCTCCTCCTCCTCCTCCTCCTCCTCCTCCTCCTCCTCCCCCTCCCCCTCCCAAAAGCAGCAGCAGGGAAGGAGGAGGCTGAGGTGGAGGAGGAGGAGGAGGACGACGAGGAGGAGGAAGGAGAGGAGAGGGAGGGAGGAGGAGGAGGAGGAGGAGGAGGAGAGGGGAGGAGGAGGAGGAGGGGAGGAGGAGGAGGAGGAGGGAGGAGGAGGAGGAGGAGGAGGAGGAGGAGGAGGAGGAGGAGGAGGAGAAGGACGAGGACGAGGAGGAGGAGGAGGAGGAGGAGGAGGAGGAGGAGGAGGATGCGCGGCCTCGGGCACCCGGGCTGCTGGCGATGCCCACCTCCCTCCAGAGGAGCAGCCACCAGATCTGCGGGGCCGGCTGGGCGGAGGTCGACGGCGACGACGACGACGACGACGACGACGACGACGACGACGAAGACACCGACGGGGACGAGGAAGGAATGAACAAGGCGGAGGAGGCCGGGGCACGCGCGAGCGCCGCTGGCGCCCCGACGCACCCTGGCGCGGGCGCTGTCGCCCCCCCCCGCTGCCCCGCTCGACTTGGGCGCTCATCCTTCTCGAGGGAAACGATCGGGGATCTACTGACCATCCATGGTCAATCCAATCCCCCGTCAGTCAGGCCTTGCAGGATCCTGCCGGATCCTGCGCCCAAGCCCGGGCCAGTGCACCCCCGACCCTGCAGGATCCTGCAGGATCCGGCGCTCTGACTGACCCCCGGTTGCAGGAACCCCCGCCCCTCGAGCCCCGAGGAGGGAGCAGGGGGACCGGATCGGATCGGGCTCGTGGAGCGCTCACGTCCTAACCGAAGCAGTCGTATGTGAAAGCTCGAAGCCGCCGCGCGGGAACTCTGAGCGGCGAGACTCTCCTGGCCACCCACCTCGCCGGCGGCCTCTGCTCTCGCACGGGGCCGCCCCTTCTTCGGGGCAGCCCACCGACAGGTGGGCACGCAGCCGAGGAGGCGCCCCATGGAGGACCGAGGAGGCGCCCCGTTGACAGGCACGCAGCCGAGGGGGCGCTCCCAGGGCCCTCTTCCCAAAGATCCAACGTCTTGGAAAAATCAAGACGGAGGTTTTTCACAGATTTCGGCCCCTGGGGGCCCTCGCCGGGCCTCGGGGCCGTAACAAAAACGACTCAGGATGAGAAACGGGTCCTGGGGTATTGGTCGAGGCTTCCAGGGACCCCGCATTGAAAAAAACACGACATCGGATCTCTGGGTTCCGAGGGAAGGCAGGAGGATGGGGAGGGGAGGAGGACAAGCTGGGATCGCTCGCGCCAGACCTGACATCCTACCCCTCCCACGCATCCCTTCCCGCTGCGCCGAGTCTCTCTCTGTCCGCCGACGCGCGTCGCGGCGCACCTGGAACTCAAAAGAAGACCCCCATCGTGCCATGCGCAACCGGAGAAGGGGAGCTGCGGATATTGGAGGAGGTGACGGACGAGCAGGAGGATTAGCAGGAAGAACGGGAAGATGAGGAAGGAGGAGGCTCGGAGGAGGACGAGGACGAACAGCACCAGCAGGAACTCGAGTGGAAGGAGCGGGAGGAGCAGGATGACCAGGGGACGGCTGAGGAGGGGAAGCGAGGGGGGCGACAACGATGCGGAAGGTCTCGGATCCAGAAAGATTGGCCCGCGCTGGGCCGAGGGCGCCACTCTGAACGACGGGGGGCAAAGCGCCGGTCGTAAAAGGAGGCCCGCGCTGCGTCGGGAGTGCCGACTTGAATCACCGAGGGGAGGTCGTTCTCTTGTCCATGTGGCGAGACGGCTCGCCGCTTTACCTCCGCCTAGGGCGATCGTGGGAGCGCGCGGTGAAAGCGAAAACCGGGTGCTGAAGACGCTCAGATTGCCTGGCTCGCATGCTGTCTGCTTTTTGCCTGCACCGTACCGTCTGGTGCGAGGCTTGCTCGACTTGACTCTGCGTCACCCGCGCCGCGGCGCCTGCGTACACCACGGGGCCCCTGCCTGTACACCCCACAGCACTCCGCGAAACTGAACCAACTGTTTTGCCGGCCCCCCTCGCCCCCCAACATCAGTGTTCCCTTGCGCGCGCGGCACGGTCCGTGGATGCCAGCGAACATGTTAGAGTCATGCGTTCGGCACTTAGCTGCCCCGATGCGCAACAAGCAGCCCGTAGCGTGGTGACACGGAGCTCAACAAGTAGACTGAAAACGCAGGTGGAGGAGGAGGAGGAGGAGGAGGAGGAGGACCAAGCAATTTGCTCTGCCCGTGAGAAAGAGATGATCAGCCAAGACGGGGTGCTGTGTTTCGAGGAGCAGGAGATCAAAGCGGAGAAGGGCTCTGGACCTCCTTGTTCGCGGGGGATGATGGATAAACTTAACTGCCCCGATACGCAACAAGCAGCCCGTAGCGTGGTGACACGGAGCTCAACAAGCAGACTGAAAACGTAGGTGCGGCGCGATGCGTTCGCCAAGACGTGGGCGAACACGTCCAGCCAACACGCAACGTGTTAAAACACGGACGTTTTGAACACGGCATATCAGGGCGTATCAAAACGTTGCGTTTTGAACACGTTTTGAACACGTTTTGAACACGTTTTGAACACGTTTTGAACACGTTGCGTTTCAAAACGGGCGTATCAGGGCAACTCATGTCATCAACACGGAAATTTGGGAGCCTGGGCGTGCCGAAGCGGCGCAGGAAACACTTGCGTTAAGCTTTGCGAAGGGATGCAGCAGCCGCGTGCACCATGGCACCACGTGGCCTGTGCACACCGTAGCAAGTGTGTGTGCACCGCAGCAGCCGCGTGCGCAGCAGCGCCTGTGTACACCAGAGTGCCTGCGTGCACCAGATCACTTTTGTACACCATCATGGCGCCTGCGCACATCACAGCAACCGCGCACAGCGTTAATGTACACCGCGGCATCAAGAAGTTCAGGCGCCGCAAGACGCCTCGTTAAGCGGCTGAGGGTCCTGGGTCATGGTTGATCTGGGTTTGGGGGGCCGCAGTTTGGTTCTCTTGCAGGGCGTGTTCGGGTAACTTGGACGCGTGTCCCTCAGTCGCTCGTTCCTCATCCTCCTCGCAGTTCAATGGATGGCCCGAGGGAATCCTGTGAGGACCCGTGGGAACTACGGGCCCCTGAAAGGTCAAAAAGAAACGAACAATATCGAGCGTTCCGCTTGGACACTTTACCCGGCACGTGTCCCACCCCGTCTCCAAGCGAGGCCACTGCTTGTATGAGCGCTGCATACACAAGAGCACGTCGCGCGATGTGCACGGTCTGCGCTGCCCTGCACCTCCGCCGTGCCGACCAGGAACCCACGCAGGTGGCGACGGTTGCGCAGCTCGCAGCTCCCGAGGGGGGCGCGGGGTCCCTGAGTAATCTGCGCTGTCTTCACCTCCGCCGTGCCTACCAGGAACCCACGCAGGTGGCGACGGTTGCACGGTTGCGCAGCTCGCAGCCCCCGAGGGGGCCGCCAGGTCTCCAAGTGACCTGCGTGGCCCTCACCTCCGCCGTGCCTCTCAGGCGTCCACGTAACTGGCGACGCTTGCGCAGTTCGCAGCTCGCGAGGGAGCCGCAAGGTCTCCAAGTATTATGCTGCCCTCACCTCCGCCGTGCCTCCAAAAGGCCCACGAACGTGGCGACAGTTGCGCAGCTCGCAGCCCCCGAGTGAGCCGCGAGGTCCTCAAATGGTTTGCGCTGCCCTCCGAGGGAGCCGCGAGGTCTGCGCTGCCCTTGCCTCCACCGCGACTGCAAGGGGCCCACGAAAGTGGCGACGACTGCGCAGCTCGCAGCCCCCGAGGCGGAGCCGCGAAGCCTCCAGATGATCTGCACTGCCCTGCGCCTCCGCCTTCACTCCCAGGAGGCCACGAAGAGTGGCCGCAATTTGGCCAAAGCGTGCCCCATTGGGAAACAACCGTTTGAAAATCCGGACCTGTACCAAGGCACCAATCCTGGGACTTCAACCCCGCGAATCACCATGAACGTTGCGTCTTTGCGATCCTGCATCATGCCCGAAGCCGGAATTCCGTTCCTGGGACTTCAACACCGGGAATCAACTTGATTGCTGCGCTCTGACATTCCGAAATCGTAACAGAAAGCCAGCTCTGGGACGGTAGCCATGTGAATCCTCGACACCGCTGCAAACTCTTAGTCCGACTGCGCGCGGCGCCAAGGCGAGAACCACATTTGAAAAGGAACCGCCCTCAATCCGTGAAACTTTTGCAACTTATCAAAACGGATGTGGGCGGCGCTAAGGCGAGAGCCACACTTTGAAAAAGAACCGCTCTCAATCCGTGAAACGTCTGCAAACTATAAAGACGAATGTGGGCGGCGCCATGGCGAGAGCCACATTCTGAAAAAGCACCGCCCTCCATCCATGAAGCTTCTGCAACTAGTAAAGAACGAACGTGCGCGGCGCCAAAGCGAGAGTTACATCTCGACAGCGGGCCGCACTCCATCCGTGAAGCTCTTGCCAACTTCAAGCTTCAGGATCAAAATGGTGAGGAAGTCTCAGGCGAAACGCCCGCCCTTTCGAGGAGGAGGGGGAGGAGGAGGAGGAGGAGGAGGAGGAGGAGGAGGAGGAGGAGGAGGCGATGACATTTTCGCTGGTCCTCATCGGTTTTCCAGCCACGGGGCGCGCTCAAGCAGCTGCGCCTCGCCGGGGGTGCCCAGATCGTCCCGGACGGCCGCTGGAGGCCCGGGGCCCCCCAAACCCCAGGGGAGGGCCTATAGGCCTCGAAAGCCATGCAAGATTCGATGCGGACTCCTCCCCCTCCTTCTCCTCCTCCTCCTCCTCCTCCTCCTCCTCCTCCTCCTCCTCCTTCCCGAGCTCAGCCTCTGGGGGCCGTCGCCAGGCCCCGGGGCCGTCAGAGCATGGCTCGGGAAAAAGCGCCCCTGCTGGAGGGGTCGAGACCTCGCGGCGTCCGCGCTGTGAAGGGAACACGACGTCGTCGGAGGAGGAGCCGGAGGGGGGTGGTGAGGAGGGGAGGGGAGGCGAGGGGGCAGCGGCGAGGGGAGGGGAGGAGGAGTCTGGGAGGAGGGAGAGGGGGGAGGCAAGGAGGGCGCGCGTGTCCCCCCCCCCCTCCGCGAGGCAGCATGTAAGCTGCCCCTCTCGGCCGACGCGCCGTGGGGGGATCCAGGAGGGCTTGACCTGCACCAGCCCGCAGCGTCAGACAGGGTTGAACCTCAACGGTGATTTTCGTTTTCGTTTTGTTCTCGTTTTCCCTCGTTTTGTCTTCAATCAGCCTTTAACGCAAAACGACATCGAAACGAAAGCGGCCCACGAAATCGCCAAAACACCGTTTAGGTCCAGTCCACCCCTGGCGTCAGAGTCAGGAGGAGGAAGAGGAGATGAGGGAGGGATACCTACTCTCGGGCCACCCATTAATTA